ATTTATGAGAGCCTCCCCCTGCAGCCACGGGGGGCGTTCCTGCCTGCCGAAGTGTCCCAGGAGATGGACAAGCCACCGGCCTGGCACCTGGCTGCAGAATCGGGATTTCCTGCCTGGTTTTATGGTGCAGCCTGCGAAGCGTTAACAAGGGGAACACGCAGTTCTGACTCCCAGACCAAGAGCTTCCCCATCCAAGCCAGATGGGGGAAGGGAGAGGGGCTTACCTTCCACGTGGCTAAACAGAGCAGGTTCATTTTCTGGCTCATGGGCTCAGGTGCAGCAATGTTGGGGGTGCACAGACAGCAAGGGAAAGGTTCCAAACAAACCAAAATCCAAGGACTGGCATTAAACGCGCGCACCCCTCCCCCCCACGTCTGCTCGGCCTTAGTAAGATCTTTTCTGCAGCACCTAATGGACCTGTTCAGCCACTTCTGCGGTGTCCCGAGGACACGTCTACTCAGCAGAAATGTTAGCAGCGTGGAAGGACAAGAAGTGCCCACTAACAACGTCATCCTGGCGCGATAGACATGAACCCGTTTAAAACCAACAGCTCAGGAGTCAACATGCCAACAATTACAAACCAGAGAGCCCCTGGATTGCGCAATGCAAGCGGCAAACCCCACCCTGGAAGGTAAACGGACAAACCACGCAGCTAAATGAGAAAAAGGTTCCTTGCCTGCATTACAGATAAGGGCAGGGTGTGTCAGTCTGATTCAAAAGGGACCGGCTGGCTGGATCACTGCAGTCAGCAGCCCTCCACGAGGTAACATCTTACAGACACGGCAGGTCTGCAACCCTTCCCACGCCCCCCAGGACTGCAGGGGGGAGCAGACGGGAATCTGTGTCCCTCTCTCCATGGCAAGGCAGACAAAGAGGCAAAGCTTCTATGCTTCGCTCTCCCAGCCGGGTTTAGGGCTCACAGACGCCAAATGCCAACCGCCCCGCTGCCAGCTGAACAGCAGGAGAGAAATCAATAACGCCCCCAGCGAGAACTGTGGCATTTCCCCCATAAATTGGCCAACCAAGAATAGGGGGCAGGGAGAAATCCCAGGGAGACTGTTCTAAGGGCATGCTTCACAGAGCCAATGCCATGCAGCAGGAGGCCATAAAATATTCACGGCGGTTTCCATCCCCCAAGATCCCGAACGACACAGCACGCAGGGCAGCGCGAAGAGCCGCCATGATTCAAAAGGGACCGGCTGGCTGGCTGGCTCACTGCAGTCAGCACCCCTCCACGAGGTAACATCTTACAGACACGACAGGTCTCCAACCCTTCCCACGCCCCCCAGGACTGCAGGGGGGAGCAGACGGGAATCTGTGTCCCTCTCTCCATGGCAAGGCAGACAAAGAGGCAAAGCTTCTATGCTTCGCTCTCCCAGCCGGGTTTAGGGCTCACAGACGCCAAATGCCAACCGCCCCGCTGCCAGCTGAACAGCAGGAGAGAAATCAATAACGCCCCCAGCGAGAACTGTGGCATTTCCCCCATAAATTGGCCAACCAAGAATAGGGGGCAGGGAGAAATCCCAGGGAGACTGTTCTAAGGGCATGCTTCACAGAGCCAATGCCATGCAGCAGGAGGCCATAAAATATTCACGGCGGTTTCCATCCCCCAAGATCCCGAACGACACAGCACGCAGGGCAGCGCGAAGAGCCCCCCTCCTGCTCTCGCTTCCTGGGAGCAGAAGGGAACCACCCCGCTCACCACCCCCACCGGCCTTTCCCGACATGGCCTGCCCCGCACGCACGCAAGAGAGGGGGGTGTTAGCACACGCAGAACTTGCTGGTTTCAGGTGGAGCCCAAAGCACCTCAACAAGAAACCCCCCAGGACTCCATTTACCTGCCCCCACGCCGGGAGGGCAGCCTTGCCGGGCACTGACCCTGCCTCGCTTCGCTCGCTGAAACCACGCGCTGTCTCTGCAGCAGGTGTTTGATCCAAGAAGGCTGGGACGCGGCAGGGGCAAGCTAACCACGCTGCCATCAGCTGTTGTTAAGCTGCTTTCCCTGTGACTCAGCCGCAGGGTGGCGGTCCCTCCTCCTCCTTCTGCTACAGAACTTCCCCGTCTCCGCGTACCCCGCCATCTCTCTTCCCAATGCAGGCACCCCCTGGTGCCCTGCCAGCTTCAGGAGCAACCCTGCTTCTATGAAACCCGTTAGGCTGGTTCCACGACACTCCTCAGCACCCTCCAGTCCAATAAACCCCCCTCTATCCGTGGAACTCACTAGGGGATCGCTAGTAGGGACCGGCAGGGCTCCACTCCATCCTCCCTGGCAAACCCCATTGCACTGGCCCTGAGCACCCTGACAATCAGCCGGGTTTCTCCTTCTTCTCCCCCAGGGGAGAATCCCGAGTCAAACCAGCACCTGGCCTGCGCCGCACTCAGCCACTCTGCACGTTGCTGACCTAGTCGACACCAAGGAGCCGTGGCGCGGGGACGGCTGTTGCAAGGAGGGACCCGGCTGTCCCCATGCCGCACGGCACGGCCTGGTCGCACCGCGCACTTGGCCCCTGCCCCCGGCTTCTGCGGGCAGCCCTTGGACAAAGGCACCTGCTTCCTCTGGCCGTGACACACACCCTGCCTCCTATGCAACCCCCCCATTCCCGCACTGTCCCCAGCACACGCAGACTCACGTGTGACACACTCAAGTCACTGCCTTTTGACCCCCCCCCTGCCTCCTATGCAACCCCCCCATTCCCGCACTGTCCCCAGCACACGCAGACTCACGTGTGACACACTCAAGTCACTGCCTTTCGCACCGCCCCTCCCTGCCATTCAGCTACACTCAGCCCTTGG